TTTAATAACCACTTTTATAGTTTTATTTCAGTTTTCAATGAAATATGATGACGTGTACAGTCGAACTAAAATTTAAAGCAAGCTTTTTTAAAGCTTTTACAAGATCTGTTCAGTCAAACATTAACTTGGCGTGTGGGGATTCTCTTAACAAGCTGGGGAGTGGAATTGCGCCTGAAATCTGCATTTTTTAAACAAAACATTTTAATAAGAAATCATAAAGATTAACACAGATCGCCTTAGAATCATTCTTTTGTCATTTTCTGTCTTAACTTTTCTGCATCTTGTATATATATATATATATATGCGTGCGTGTGTTTTGTTGAATTCCGCACAAACCTACTCGAGGTCTATCTGTGCTAGCTGTCCATGATTTTGAAGTGATAGACTAGAGAGTATGTGTTTTCTTATAGCAAAATCACATCGGACTATTTGCTGTGTTTGTTTGTTTTTAATTATGCACAAAGCTACACAAGGGCTATCTGTGCTCTGCCCACCACGGGTATCGAAACCCGGATTCTAGCGTTGTAAGTCCGCAGACATACCGCTGTGCCACTGGGGGGTATTTGCTGTGTCCACCGTGAGGAATCGAACCCCTTATTTAAGCGTTATAATCCGATGACTTACCGCTGTCCCAACGGGGGCCAGACAAGAGGGAAAGGAGCTAGCTAGCACCACCCTCTCTTAGGCTATTCTCGAAGAACGAATACTGGGATTAACCGTCACATTACAAGCTCCCATGGCTGAAAGGGCAAGCATGTTTGGCGACGGAGATCCGTGTACTGAAAACACAAAACAAAAACCAAACCAAACAAAAACGGCTTAAATGACAACAGACGTTTTCATCAGACTTCAATATTTTAAACAATGAATAAATCACTTGTAAATATTTTTAAATTACAAGAATGACTGTTGAGGGAGTCTTAATATGTCCCAGTGCTGTGGGTTTCTAAGAAAAAAAATAACGTTAAATATTTTCCATTGTTTTTAACAAGAATGACTGTTGAGGGAGTCTTAATATGTCCTAGTCCTGTGGGTTTCTAAGAAAAAAATAACGTTAAATATTTTCCATTGTTTTTAACAAGAATGACTGTTGAGGGAGTCTTAATATGTCCCAGTGCTGTGGG